CTCTCTCTCTCTCTCTCTCTCTCTCTCTCTCTCTCTCTCTCTCTCTCTCTCTCTTTTTTTTTTTTTTTTTTTTTTTTTTTTTTTTTTTTTTCCTTTCCTTTTTGTTTTTACTTAATCCTTTTTGATCCGAAATTTCAAGCGTCTAACCAGGCGTGTACACGTCTAGACACGATCCTCACTCACCTCCAAGTGTGTCTTCCAAGCATCCTCAGTGGCAGTCACCGTCCTGGTCACTGGATTGTATGCAAAGTCTGGGTCCTCGCGCAGACCACGCCAGAGTCGAAATCGCTTGCGCGCATTGTCGCTCTTGTTGATGAGATGGCTCTTTGCAGGATACGCGCCATGGCATTCCTGCAGGGCCTGCGCGGCGCGCTCCCAAGCCTCGGCTTTAAAGCTGCTGTTTTCTCGCAACCCGAGCTGAACGCTGGCGCAAAGGCTGCGGAAAAATGTGGTCTCGTAGGCGGGTGTCCAGCTGAAGCGCGGAGCCCGGCGGTCGCGATCGACACGAGAAGAAGACGCCGGGGCGTCGGGGCCGAGTATGTCGATGTCGTCTTCGGACATGGCACATGGACGGGACGGAGACGATTGCTCGAGAGTTAGATGTTTTGATTCGGCGCTGTGCCAATCAAACCGGGCAGCGGAATCCAGCGATCAGCAACAGCGGGTGCTGCGTCCATGCTGCTTGCGACAGACGACCTGCAAGTCTGAGGTGCGTCAGTTTCATGGTGGGGTTGCGCATCACATGAGCATTCTGGATTTGCGATGTTAATCTGAAAGTCAAAGGCTATATAAACTTATACTACTGGCACAGTTTTCATTAAGTAAGATGATTACTGGGCGGATGGTTTAGTGGTATAATACTCCCTTAGCATGAAGTCACACCGTGATCTAGTGTGGGAGTGGTCCGGGGTTCGATTCCCCGTCTGTCCATGATAGGTGGTTAAACTCCACTATTATACCCTTTTTTGGGTAATTCTCATCGCTGTTCCGAGGTCGTCTTCCTTTTTTTTGGCCACACAGTATTGCAAATACATCGTCCAGGACCTGGTTGACATTGTACAAACAATAAAAGAAACATGGCAAAAGGACGTTTGTAGTTCATCTCCTGTCTGCCATTCTTCCCTCTTGCTTTTATTCTGGTCTCTTCGGTCTTTGTCATGCCCTCGGACATTCAAGTCGCGGCAATAGCTTCCCTGCTTTCAAGGTCTTGCGCAGCAGTCCACTCGGTTGTCATCCGTTTCACGTCATTTGGACAGAATCGCCGAGGGGAAACCGTCGATCTTGTCAGCCGCGCCGTCTGTGCCGCCGAGGCCGAGCCTGATCATTCAAGCGGAAGCCGTGGGTGGACTCGTGGGTCGAACACCAGGTCGCTGAGACGGTCACGGACGGCAGGGAGCACTCGGCCTTGTGTATTTCATCGACACACGTGCAATGTCTACATCCAGCGGGGGGTGCATATCCATTGCCGTGGTATGTACATGCCACATGGACGTCTTTGATCATCCATCAAGATGCGGGCCCATGGCAAGGCAAACGATCAGGACGCCAGCCACACACTGGGGCTCCGGATACGTATCTCCAGGGACGCCGTTTTCGACTCCATCATCCACGTCGCGCGGTAGTCCTCCGGAGTCGCGAGGAAAGTCCCGGCCATGCTGAGTGTGGTCTGCTCGGTCGGAGCCCTAAAGTGTACGTCGATGACGATGCTTGTTTTGTTTTTAAATGTCGGCCCTGGCTGGGTTCGAACGAGCCCGGTTGTAGGGTAGGTGGGAGCGCGTGGTGCGCAAATAGGGGCAGACGGGAGTGCGTGTGTCTTTTTGGGGCCTTTGCGAATGATACGACGGCGAAATCTGGGTTGCAGCGGGTTTGGAGCCGCGGAGATGCCGTAGCGTGGATGGGTATTGTGTTGGCGCCGTGTTTCAGATATCGGGAGGGGGGTTCGTGTTGAGGAGCTATTCAGACTGCATGATTGGTCACGTGAGGATTGATGCAGGTAGTCTCGCAGGATGAGGGTGTAGAATGATAGTATATGGAGCTATATAGAGACCATCTAAGGGGAAATGCTAGCTGCATACAAAATATATGTGATAGGCATCTTAGGCTAAATGCCTAAGATATAAGGCTATATACTAGGGTATTATAGACTAAAGGTTCTAGCTAAGGTAAGACTAAGGAATTCTATAATATTTAATACTGCCTCTATAGCTAAATAATAAGCTTATATAAACTATATATAAATTCTATTTATTTAAAAGAAAGATAATTTACTAAGGCTATTATACTATAGTTAATTATATACCTATAGCTTTATACTAGCTACTTACTATAGTATTTATAATAGCGCTATTAATAAAAAAGGTAAGAGAAAAATAGAAAAAAGTAGGGTTTCCCTATAAAATTTAGTTCTTAGCTAATTAAAAGTTAATAGCTATAGTTATTTATATATTATAGCTTAGATATATTAAATATCCTTAGGGTTAAAGATAGTATAAAAGGTAAAGCTTTTATAGCTAGTTAAGCTTATAATATTAATATTAAAAGTAAATAAATAAAAAGCAGAGATATATTAAAGTTACTATATATAAAGCCTAAAGAGTTATATTAAAGAGATTCTAAGGAAATCCCTTAATATTATCTAGTGCTATAAAAGCTGCCTTTATAGCTATATATAATATCCTTATAAAGTTAATATGTTTTTTATAGTAAAGGCCTTTTATAAGGCTATTAGTAATTATTTAATTAGTACTAATATATTTAAGTTAAAAGAAGCTATTATAGACTCTTTATATAATCTATTTATATTATAGGTTAATATACTATATATAGCTATAATACTTTTTATTTAATATATTTACCTTTATATTTTAGCTATTAATAAATAGTAATAGTAAGTAAAGTTAATTAAAGCTAAAGTCTTTAATAATTTAAAATACTTAGGTTATAGATAATACTATTAGTATAAGATTAAGAAATTCTACCTTAATAATGCTTAAAGCTATAAGAGCTTACTGCTTTAAAGACTATAATACTAATTTATTATTAATAAGTATAATATAGCCTATAGTAAAGCGCTTAGTATTAAGATAATTTATATAAAAGGCATTACTATATTTAGAGATATAAAAAATTTAATTATAGATACTTTAGGTTAATTTACTACCTAAAATAATACTTAGGTTAATTATCCCTTTTAAGTATTACTAAAGGTGCTTTTAAAGATTATAATAAATTTGCTTTAGCACTAAATTTATAGTACTAAGCCTATTTACTATAAATATAATATTTAGCCTTATATATATAAAGAGCTAGTTAAAGCACTTAACCTTACTCTACTAATCTATAAGGTTTCTAATAGTCTTAAGGTCTTTTTAATTTAAAGGGATTTCTACCTTAGGCTTTTAAGATATATAAGCAGAAGCAAAGTTAGAGATTTTAAAGCGCTTAATAATAGATTCTATATATTTCTCTTAGTAAAGAAATATAGTCTTTTAATTATAATTCTATATAAATTATATACTAAGAAATATATAAACTATACTAAAGCGCTTTATTTTATATTAAGTTTCTAAAAGATTAAGGATTATATTAATTAGTAAGTTTAAGGGAGCTATAATAATAATATTATTAATATAAAGGAGTAAGAAAACGTTATTATTATATATAAAAATGCAAAGCTTACTTAAAAGCTAGCAGAAGCTATATTTTATAAGCTTATTAAAGATATTATTAAGCTATTAAAGTAGTAATATTAGAAGTTTATAAAGTACTTAATTAAAGTAGTAAACTCTATCTATACTATCTTTATAGCCTTAAGGCTAGTAAATATAGACCTTAGTTTATACTTTTATATTAAAAAAGGCATTAATAGTGTTATATTATTGCTACTTTAGGTTTAGAATAGTAACTATTATATAAAAAACGTATAAAGAGACTAAATAAGCAACTATAGCATATAAGTTTTCTACTTTAAAGACCTTAGTGTTTTAGTTGCTATAAACCACTTAATAAGCTTTTAAATAAGGTAGTCCTTTAATAGAGTATTTAATAGTATAAACCTAATAGCTATTAAAGATTACTATATTTTTTAGTAATAGAATAAGATATTAGCTATCTTTTTATTATATTTTTTTAAGCTCTTTAAGCTTAATAAAGTGCTAAAAGGTTTAGTAGTTAGGAAGGTTTTTAGCTTAAAACTAATTAAATAGTATTAAAATTAGTATATCTATAATATTTATAGCTTATATTATTATTAAATAATATAACGGATTTATATTATTGTTTAGCTTATAGATATTATCTTTATAGTATTAAATTAAGGCATTTACAGCGTTTAGCGTGTAAAAAGCGCGTTTTTTTCTATATATAGTAATATATAAATAGTTCTTATAGACTTTAATATATAATAAGCGCTATATATTAGTTACTATTAAGCTTTAACTTTAACTAATAGACTTTAAGGTACTTAAACGCGTTTTTTATGCTTATAGGTTTTATAATTAATATCTAAATTCCTTACTATAAAGAGGCAGAGAGACCTCTTTAAAAATAACTTCTAAGGACTTAGTAGGCATAATACCCTTATTTATATTAGCTTCTTCTTTATATATATCTTTAATTAAAGGTTTTAGTTTAAAAAGGTTAACTTAACGTTAAAAGGGGTTAATAATTAATTCTTTAATTAGTCTTTTATATTAGTTTATTTGCTTTAATAGTAGCAATTTTGTTAGGCTCTTTAATATTATAGTTAAAGGTCTAAAGAGACTATATTCTAATAGGTCTTTTAAAGGAGTTGTTAATCTTATATCTATTTAATTAATTAAAGTATTAATTTTTAGTAGCTATACTACTAATTTATTACCTTATAAGGGTTCTTTAGTACTTTATTAAGTGTTTAAAGGTAAGTTAAAATGCAGCTCTATAGGAGGTAGGTCTTTTATAAGTAATATTAATAGTAAATTAACAATTTTTCTACCTTCTTCTTTAAATATAGAATTAATAAGTTTAGTAACAAATTTAACCTCTTCTTTAATATTATAGAATATATTTAATTCCTCTTAAAACCTTATATTATAAGCTTATATAATATAATTATCTTTAGGGAGCTAAACCTTATAAAGATAACATTTAGGGCCTTTTATACTTACTAAGCAGCCCTTCTTAGCTTATAGTGCTATCTTTATAGCCTTAATATACCGCTCTTTTAGAATATATATATAGGCTATATAGCCTTATATTTAAAGATTTTTAATAGATGCCTTATTAATTAGACTAATCTTATTAAACAATACTTATTATAGCGATTTTCTACTATTAGTGCTATTTATAGGCAATAAATTAGTTATTATAGCAGTATACTTTATAGTATATAGCTAAAGAATATTAAGAAGCTTAGCACTAATTATAGAAGCATAAGCTATATTTATAAGGGTTCTCCTAGCTCTCTTAATAATGCCTTAATAGGCTAAAATATAAGGAGTATTAGTGTAAAAAATAATACCTTTCTTATAGTAGTAATTAGTAAATTTCTTACTAAGGAATTCTATAGCGTTATCTATATAAAAGCACTTTATAGTAAAGCTATTACTTACGTTTTTTATAGCGTTTTGCTAGACTTTAATAGCTTTTTAAGAAGATTTATAACTAATAATTAGAATTACCTAGTAAAACTAAGTATATATATTAATTATATATAAAGTATAGTTCTTACTACTAAAGCCTTTAGATTTATAGATAATATAGTCCTAAAAAACCCTACTTAAGAAGGAATAAGTATTAGTCTAAGGCTTATAATATATAATTTAGTCTGCTTTAGTAAGATAGCAAGCTTTATAATAAAAATTACTTAAAGAGATAGAATTAATTAATATACCTACTTTTTTATATATATATAGTATTTAGTCTTTCCTAGTATACCTAAGTCTCTTATATAA